CCACAGGGAAGAAGCTGTTGGGAGGGTGACAAGGAAGCTTGTGGTTGCTTCTGCTGGCAACTGGTGAGGTGTGTGAGTGGAGTATTTCTCCTTGGTCTTGAGTTTGGGCATGCGCAGAGGCAAGGTTTGGGGTTTGGTCATTTCTTCTTGAAGGTTTCTGAAATGGAATTTTACCTCTCAAGTGGGTATGGGCTATCGTGTGATATCCTTCTCTTGCAAAGGACAAGCCTGACCAAAAAGTAACAAGATGATCCAGATGCTTTGAATATGCCCCATCTCAGGTGTTTATGTGACCTTTTATTAACATATCATGTATGTGCTTTGTGGCCTTTTAAAATACTTATTTTGGTATCTTATGAGGTGGTTGCCTACATGTTTGGATCTGGTCCCTCATCCCTCCGTGCCTCAGAGCTCCACCTGTAAAATGGGACTAAAGGTATTGTCCCTTAACTCCCATTGGGATAAACTATCCTGTCAATAAAAGAAAAAAAGAAGTTGGGCTTGTAGAGCCTGTGTATCTGCACGTCGCCTACTTGTCCAAAGAAAATCTTTTATAGGATTGGGGATCCCATTGCAGCAACCCTCTGCAAAAGGTGCATCTGTTCATATCTTGGAAGCCGTGTGTCATCTCCACGCCTTCTGTTCTTCATTTTGGATCGGAGATGATGGCTGTGCAAAGCCTTTATTTTTCCATTTGAACAAGCAGCTATTTGGCTTTTACAACTTAAATCTGGTTGTTTTTTTTTTTTTTTGAGTGTCTCGGCCCTTGTCGGCGGGGCTTTAGATTGGGCAGTGAGGGCATGTGAGCACGGCCGGAGGCTTTGCATTAAGGCTGTTGGGCAAGATAAGATGCGCTATGATAGGAGGATGGCAGAAGGGAGAAGAGCCAGGGACTGCAGCTTACGGGGTTGGACAGGGAGTGTTTTTGTGTCCTGAAAAAAAACTGAAAATGTCAGTGTGGTGGAGTTCTGGAGGGGAAAAAAGGCAAAACTGGTATACTTGGAAAATGAATCTGAAAAAGTAAGAGGGACAGAGCAAGGAATGAAGACGGCAAAACCCAAGTCTGGGGTGTGAGAAGCTCGATCCCTGGTTGGAGCGTGGGATTGTGTGGCTACTGTGGGCAAAGCGCAGGAAAGTGGCCCGTGGCTGTGGGGGGACGCTGGCTCTGGAGCCTGGTGATGACCGCAATTGCTCGAAATGCGGGTTTTTATTAGCAGGGAGAAATTCAGCCCTGGACTTCAGACCTTGCTGAAGCTGATATTTCTAAAAAAAAATGACGGTTGTAATGGATTGATGCTTTAGAAATGAGTTTCTTTGAAAAATTCCTGCCTGGAGCCTTCATGTGCTCTACCTCGGAGCGCAGGAGCAGCGATGCCGGTGGGGTGGAGCTGAAGGCATCGCTCTGCATATCACAGCAGAAATGTTTTTTTCCCTCTAATCCTGCGTTAGCCAGTGAAGATACGCTTTGCCGCATCTCGCTGAAGCCGTTAGCGCGGGAGCATCCCTGGCTTTGTTGTGCGAGTTAACTCATGCCCTGAGCATCTCCTGCAAGCAAGGGGAAGGCAGGAGAGAAACAAATGTTCCTCCTACGCAGTAAGAGCCGTAATTCCACTTTCTTTATAAATCCTGACACTCCTCACAATGGGAGCTGAGGTCCCAGGCAAGGATGGGGATCTGGGATGGGGTATGGGCTGGACATGTCTCCCTGGGGAGGCAGAAGCCCCGGGGTGCTTCTTCCCTGGGTCTGGATTGCAGCATAGAATTAAAACTTTGCCCAGTTTTGGGTTTTGGTGGTGTGTGGGTTATTTGTTTGGGTATTTTTTTTTTTTTTCAGAAGATTCATTAACTTTTTGAGTCAACCCGAGCCAAGTTTTGAGTTACTAGCAGAAGACAAATGTGTGTTTTGTTGGGTTTTTTCACCCTCGAGACCACATGGAGTTCTGTAGCTGAAGTAAAATGGGGTGAAAGTCTTTTGTTTCGTGGGTGAAATATGTCATCTGAGTCCCCGGGCTCCGCTCGGGCTGCTTTCCCACGCCTTTACTTCCCTCCCTGAGCCCAACTACATGCCATCCCGGAGAGCCCCCGTCGCTCGAGCTCCGCTGCTCCCCAGCCCTCGGGATCCCGCACGTGTGGTACCCACTCCCCTCCTCCCCACGCCCGCCGTGTCCCCATCCCTTCTCCCGCTTCGGGATGCAGCTGGACATCCCCGGCACCTCCTTTCCAGCTTCTCAAATACTTTTCCTTCTGCTTCCAACCGTGAAGCCCCATGTCTCTCATGTTCTTCGTGGACTAAAACACCGTTCCCTCTACGCAGGAGTCTGAGCCCGCCCCGGCGCTGCCTCAGCATGTCTGCTCTTCGGCCCCGTTCATCATCAGCTCAGCGGCTCGCTACGGGGGACGGGAGGAGACAGGGGAAAGTGCTTCCTTCCATCTCCTTTAAGTGGCCGTAACACTCCCTTTTACCTGTCTCCTCGTCCTCCGGCTGAGTTATGGAAAGCCGGGGAAGGTTTGCCTGGGGGATCTCGCTAATCCCCCGCTTAGGGAGTACTCTGGGAAAGCTTTATTGGGCAGTGAGACATCTCCACGCTGAGCTCCCTCTGACGGGAACATTATTTTGGGTTTCTGTAGATGTTTTAGACTTGGCTGGTCGCTCTGGCTCTGCCTCTAAAGTCAAGACCCCCTCTGCACTGCATGGGGGCTCCAGGGGGGGTGTCAGACCCGGGTTTACTCCTTCCAGTGTGTGTGTGGCTTTCTGGTTTGGGGTGGGTTTGCTTCCAGTGCGGCAGGAAAGCGGCCACCGGTGTCTGTGACCTCGTGTCCCAGGGGCCACCATCTCCCCCTGCAAAAGCTGTGGGCACTGGCTGACCGTGACCCCCTTCACACCTCCCTTCCTGAGCTCAAGGGCATCTTTGACAGCAAAATAATACTTGATTTTTATTTTTTTTTTTCCTCCCCCTTTCCTCACTGTTTTTTCTTAATCTCTCCCCAGTGAGACATAACATTAATTACTGCAGTTAAAGGGAATTCAGTCTCCATTACTGCCTGCCACCCCTTTCCTCTTGGCTTGAGCATCTGAAATTTGTCTCCCAAATGAAAAGAAGGGAGGAAAGGGGGGAAAAAAAAAAAACCAAATATGCAAATGCGAGATTTTATTTATTTACCTTTTTTTTTTGCGCAGTGTCAAGTAGAAAGGAATCAATATTTTTGTCATTACGCCTCTTGTGTTTTTTCCCCATAATCTTAGCTGTCATTTGGGTTTAATTGTGTTGTTTCCTCTTGTGTGGAAGTAAATCTTATCTGTTTTGGATTAAAATTCAATGAAGGTCACAGCAGCTCGAAAACTTACCAGGCTGCAGCAATTAATGTTCATTTGGCTTTGATAAATTGGAATGTTCCCCACAATAGGACTGGAGTGGATTTCAGAAGCAATAATTCTTCCATTAACTCAATGATTCCCCGCGTGATGGAGCGTCTTGTCACTGCTCTGTTTGTCATCTGTCACTTCAAGGATCCGGGCATATGCCTGATATGATTTATCATGATTATTGGGGCTGCTTGTGTCAAAACATTTTAAACCACTAATTATTCCAGCCTTGTAAATTGCTGAATTTAACAAAACATAAGAGATACTTATTTTGTTGTTGTTGTTCCCCACCATCTCGTGTCCCTCTTTAATTATTGCTCAGCGTCGTGGTAAATTCGGACCCGGGGTGTTCGCTGTGGATGGGGGGTTATTTGCCGGGCTGTGGGGAGGCAGAGGAGTGGGGATGTTTTGTCTCTGCGCTGACCCACCTCGCAGACCTTTGGTAGAGCCATCGCAGCCAGCGCCTCCTCCCGGCCCCGCGGGTGCCCGGGCTGTGGGTTTGGGAAGAGGATGCAAAGCCGTATCCCTTCTCGCTGGCAGAGGGATGGGTTTTCCTCCCTTAAGCCGTGTGAGCGATGCCGGTGAAAGCCCCGGGTGTGGGAGATGAGAGCCGTGCCCGTGTGGTGATGAGGTGTGCAAATGAGCTATGTGTCGCCTCTGCTCCGGCTCCAGCAGAAATAAGGTGGGCATTTTTGAGAACGGTAACAAGCAAAAGCCTTGTTTCATCTTGCACCGTTGCCCTGCAAGGGAGCATTTTGGTGTCTGGAATAAAAGGTGACCAGACCTCATCAGGCTGCTTTTTTTTTATTATCATTATTTTTTATTTTTAATGCCTACTTTCTGCTGGCTGTTGCTGGCAGTAGACAAGTTAGCTGCTGGTTTCTAGGTCTCCCAGCAGACTTTTTCAGCTCTCATTTATATGAGTTTCCTTTTTTCTTCTGGTTCTTGTGCATCCTGATGTTTCCCTTATGATCAGCCATTGGGGCTGCGCTCCATCAGCCTCTGAGCTGGGTGTAAAGTGTGCTCTTAAACATTTTGCTCTGATTTAGCATCCCGCTGTGACGCGAGGCCGGGGAGGGGTCCTGTGCGCCCGATGCACGGCGCAGGTGGGTACCAGTGCGCGCAGTTCCTCGTGCCTGGGGCAGCTCTCTGATTTCTTAAGCACCGCAATAATATCTGAGAGCGAGTGAGGTTTTATGAGCTGCTGCTGTCTCATTCCTGAAGCTGCTGTCACCCAGAGAGGGCCATGACAAGTACATCCATTTGCTCTTCCCCCCCCCTTTTTTTCTGTTACCTGTGACCCGTATCCCAGCTCTCCCTCCCTCCATGCTCCACTGCCTGTGTTTCCTCGGGGGGATGCCCTCCATTAGGCTCCCGGCTTTCAGCTTGGCTGCA